ATATGCCTATGTGTAGATTTTTTTTGATCAAGGCTATTTGGAGTCCTATATGCCTCACTTATCTGTATGTCAAGTTCTTTTCCCCAGCTTGGGAAGTTTTCTGCCATCACTTCTGTGAACAGTTTTTGTCATGTGCACTCTCTCATATTTCATTGACTCCAGTTAGTCTTATGTTATTCTTCTCTGCATCCTCTAGCAGCTGCTGGATTGATTTCTTGTGGTTCCTTATAATTTTAAAGAAATTTTTCTTTTCCTGGTAACTAATTGCAATCTTATCTTCTATATCTGAAATTCTGTCCTCACATTGGCTCATTCTGCTGTGTAGAATTTCAATGGATCTTTTAATCTTCTGGAAATCTGTTTGCATCAGTGGTATGGATTCCATTTGTTTCCTATGTTGGGATTCCACCATGTTCCTCAGCTCCTCTCTAGATTTATTAATCATGTCTTGCACTATGAGCGCAATCTCTGTTGTTATCTGAGAAATTATTTCTGATTTTATTTTTTCCAGATCTTCTTTTGTTGCCAGTTCAGGTAGTCCAGGTGGTTGAGTATCAGAATGTTCCATCTCATTTCCCTTTGGGGTTGCTGCAAGTGATCTAGAAGTCTGGTTTTGAAACTTGTTCATGTATCTTCTCATTTCAAAGGGATTGTGTGTGTGTGTGTGTGTGTGTGTGTGTGTGTGTGTGTGTGTGCCTGTGTGCTGCTTGTGCCTGCGTGGTCCACCTCCTCTGTGCTGGGAATGGTAGTACAGTGGCCTGGAAGCCTCCTCCTCTGCACTCGGAGTGCTGCTGCAGCGGCCCCGAAGCCTCCCACTCTGTGCTGGGAGCGGTGGTCCGGCGGGCCAGAAGCCTCCTCCTCTGTGAGAAAATTTGTCTTTTAGTCAGTGCTTGAGGGATTGCCATATTCCCATAATTGTCATGGTATTCCCCAGGTTAGCAGTAACCATGGGATTTTTGCAGATGTCTAGTCAAGAAATAATGATCTTATCTCACAATGGTGTTGATCTTGAAGTATTACTAGTTTCTGGATAGATTTTATATGTCCCATAATAATCGAAGTTATCAAGGCTTCTTTGCAGGCATTCTGGTAAAAATATCCCTAACATATATTTCAGAATGTTTTTCAAATTTCTGTCAAGAGTTCATGCTGAACCTAACAATGGTTGTTAACTTGAAACTTTATTAGTATCAGGTAAATCAGGTAGCTTAAAACAGACTGAACACATGAAACATCTCCTCTAGTTTCTCTCTGTAGGCTATTAGATTCCTGGTAAAGCTGCCCTCACAGAAACTGCAACTGACCAACTAACAAGTCTAATTTCTTCCTAGTTGTGAATATTCAGTTGAGTAGTTATCTCAACCAACACTTCTCGGGTTCTTTCCCCCAATTCTCTTAGTCTATCCTTTCCATCTCTCTCATTTGTGCCCTACACTTAAGGGTGAAGGACAACTTCTATTTCTCCACTGTTCCTGGGCAAACTCATTAGGAATTCTCAATCCCTTATTTCTGTATCTGCAGTCAAACACATTTTTTATAATATGTTTCACAGGTTCCTTTCAAGAGAACATGCTGAGTCTAACAGTGGTAGTTAATGTGGGACATTGCTGGAGCATAGATAACTAATATTGTGAGCCTAAATCATAGCAAGTCTACCTGACTTTCACATGTCTAGGTATGCTACTGAAGGTGTCCCAAACACTTGTTACTGTGTTTATTTTTTCACATTTTCAGTTAAGAAATAGTAAAGTTCTTACTAGTAATAAGAACTTTGATTTCTTACTTTTTAATTTTAGGAAAAATTTAAGTTTCTAAGTATCAGAGGATTGTCATATTCTAGTAATTATCAATGTGTTCCCCATCACAGTAGTAATAAAGGGATTTTTGCAGATGTCCAGTCAAGAAATTATGGTCTTACTGCAATGGTGTTGACCTTGGCAGTACTACAAACACCCAAGTAGTATGGATGCGTCTAGGAATGATGAAAGTGACTAAGATTATTTGCCAACATCATGATAGAAAAAATTGTGTTTTGTAACATGTATTTCATAAAGTATTTTTTACGTTCCCATCAAGAAACCATAACCTCAAATGGTGGTTAATGGAACTTACTAATATCCAAAGAAGTAATGATGTGGGCTGATGAGGGATCAGACCGTCTGATCTTCATATATCTAAGTAAGTGGTCATGGCTGGCCTAAGCTTGTGAGTTTTTGCTTTTTGAAGGTATTCAGGTACAAAATGATAGGCACCTTGCCAATTATACTATGTTACCTTTTATATATTAATGTAAATTTATATTTAGTCTGGTAAGTGTTCACAGATTTGCAAATATCCAGGTAATTATCATGGTGTTCTATTATATAAGTAACCATGGGATTTTTGGAAGTCTGCAGTCAACAGAGGATGTTTTCACTAACAGTGGAGAATACCATGGAATACTATAAGTAATCAAGTAAAGTCTATGTGCATGGCAATGAAGAAAGTCACCAATGGGTTTCCATGAGGAAAAAGTTGTATACTTGGAAACATTTGTAATAGTTTACTTTTCATGTTTTAGTTCAGAGAACACAGTGAATTTCACAATTATTATTTATTGGGATTTTGCTAGTGTCCAGGTAATTGATGATGTGGGCCTTAGATATACTACAGACCATCTGATCTTCAGATATCTAGGTAAGTGAAGATGGTGTCCTTGTCATTTTTGTTACCATGTTTTTTCCTATGTATCCAGGTAGAAAATAATTCCACCTCAATCAGTACTAGTAGGCACTGTTCCTTATCATTTTAAACATAATATGCATTTAACTTTAATAATAACCTTAGCAATGACTGCATGTGTTCTGGTGAGATCTACTGTTTCTCACCATAGTATCAACCATGAAATCATCAGAGATGCTCAGCCACGAAAAAGTGGTGTCTCTAAAAATGTTGTTGATCCTGAAGTTTTGCTAAGATTTAAAGAGTTTTGATGGTCCCATAATAATGGAAGTGACTGAGGTTATTTGTTGGTATCTTGTTAGAACAAGCTGTGTCCTTAAATACACTTGTCACACATGTTTTCTTAGGCTCCAGTCTAGAGATCACAGTATATGTAAAAATGTTCATTAAAGTAGTTTTCCAGATATCCAGCCAAGTGATAAAGAAAAATGTACAACACTTCTGACTAATATTGAGATATTAGGAAATTAGAATTGTGACCCTAACATTTATGTTCCCAAGGGGTTTTTTTGTGACCTCATCAAAGTCTTTCCTAGTATGTGAATATCAGATGATGTTATGCATACTCATTAAAGACTTTCTTATTTTCAGACATATAGGTAATGATGTTTAAATTCTTATATTAAAATTATTATATGTATATAGTTAAGGAATAAATTTATTCCTAATAATATTCTTATTTAGAGATCACATATACTTAACACTCCTAGTGATAGTCAGATAAGTAGGTATCCAAGTAAATTACCAATTGTGTAACACTATTATTGACCATGATGGGTTTGCTGTTATCCTTACAGAGAGTAAGAGATCTCTTAAAAGGCTTTCTCCTTGAAGTTTTGTGAACATCCAGGTAGCATTGATGAGTCTTGAAATTTATAAGTGACAAGAGGAATTTGCAGGTATATAAGTAAGACAAGCTGTGCACCAAATACATTACCCACTATGTATTTTTCAGATTCCTGTTAAAGAATCACATCAGGCCTACCACTGCTGGTCAACATGGAACCTTTCTGGTTTCAGTGTAAGTGATGATGTGGGCCTAACCCAAAGAACAGACCAATGTGATCTACACTTCTTATTACCATCATATTTTCTCAAGTATTCTTTTTTTACTAGTATGTGTTTGCAGTATGTAATGGTTACATTTATTATGGAGAGTTGGTACATATACATAACACATCTTAATTTTTTTCCTATCCTCTACCCCTCCTTTACCTCCTTGCTTCTTCAAATTCTTGGTCCCCTTCCCATTTGTTTCTTAAATATTTCCTAATACCTTTTTGGATTCCTATCATGAGATAAAAATTGATCTAATATTGTTCTCTAATGGCAGGCATTACTGGTATGCAGACAAGTGCTTATGCAGAAAAAAACTAAAGCACAAGCCAGTTGATCAGATTACGTGAGGTAATTGTTGATGATGTCACTAACACTTGTTTTTACCACTATTTCTTTGCAGCTATTCAAGTAAGAAATAATAATGCCCTTAACAATACTATAAAGGATGATATTTCATTTTTGTATTTTAGAGAAAATGCTTAAACTTGTGGGGATGTTTCACATATTTAGGCAATTACCAGATGTTCCTGGCTGCAGTAGTAACCATGAATATTATGCAGGTGTCCTGTAGAGAAATGTTGTCTTATCTGACAATAGCCTTGACCTTGGAGAACCACAATTATTCAGGTACAGTCTTATGATTATGGATGTAACCAGTTTTTCAACAGTTCCTGGTAGGTTGTGTCCTTTTGCACATATGTTTTGCTAGGTCATGTCAAGGGTTCTTGAACTTTAAAAAATATTCATTATCAGGAGCCATTTCTTATATCCAAGTAAATGGTATTTTCACCAATACCACATGAAAAATAACAGATCTTCCTATATCTAGGTAATTAATGTTTATCTGCCTAAATATTTTAACATATGATTTTTTAAAAACAGGTACTTAGGTAAGGAATAATAGTGTGTTCCAATTCTAGAAACCATATTATACAATTTTCTTATATTTTAGACAAAATTTACCGTGTTAAATGACTTTCACATATTGTGGAGTTGTGCATCATAGTAGTAACCAAGAAAATTTAAGAATTAGCAGTCAAGAGATAATGATGTATTAAACAATAGTGTATATCATAGAATATTCAAGAACCTAGGTAGAATTCATGGCTCCAGATAGAGTTGATGGGTCTTACAATGATGGCAATGAATAGTGTTATTTGGAGGATCTCAGGAGAAAGGGCCTGTTCATAGCACATTTGTCGCCATATGTTTTCAGGTTTCTGTGCAGAGATCATAGCAAGCCTGGTAGACCTGAAATGCCACATAGCTTGTATCATGAAAACAATGATGTGGGGAACAGGAACCCTAAAAACAGTGCAGTCAATAGCTATATAGTGTGGGGTTTCTACATTCATATTTCTATGTTTTCTTATAGATATTCAATTAAGAAATGATGTAGCATCAATAAATGCTAATAATTAGCTTATTATTTTAAAGTTTAGATGTACTCTGTTTAATTTTAGCCGCTATGGAGGGATATTCAGGGCTCCATGTAAGTTATCCAACTTGCATCACAGAACTGACCATAATTTTTCTACAGGGAGCCAGACAAAAGAAGATACTGGCAGTCACAACATTCCTGACTTTGAAGTTTTAGAAAGATTCAAGTGGTTTTAATGATTTCCCAATGATAGAAGTGACCGAAACTTTGAATGTCCCTTTCTTCCTTTCTCTAGGGTAAAAGATGTGTCTTTACCTGATGCCATGCCCTAAGGAAATAACAGGTAAACAAGAAGGAAGCATGTCCCCAGTTGGTTCATAGTGATGTGTCCTTCGGTGACACGTCAAGACATGCCTATCAACCAGGAAGGTGCTCGGGTAGGTTGCTGTTTTCCGGGGAAGTGGACATATGGGGCCTACATTGCAGCACTAAATACCTGATTTCCTACAGAAAAGTAGATGATTATGGGGTCCCTCACCTCATATGTCATCAGGCTTTCCTTGCTGGTGCTCAAGTAAAAAATGATGGAGTGCTTAGAAGTTCTAGTGATCCTGAGTCAACTTTGTACAGGGTAGGGCAAAGGTACATTGAAACTATGAATGTTCAGGGATTCACTCTACCCTGCTTAGAGACTTTCATTGTCAATAGGCCAGGCCACTGCAAGAAGAGCGCACTTTGCAGGGGTCTACGGAAGAGAGGATGGACTCTCTGGACAGTACTGTTTACCTCCAGTTGATTCAAGGATGCACACAGGTTTGAAGTGTGACTTATTGGAGGATAAGGGGACAGCAGGAACATGAGCAGAGGTCCTGGCAGAGTGAACCATCTCCTCAGAGGAATTTTTGCCTGTTTTTACATGAAGTTCTCATCAAGAGAACCCAGTGATCCCCAAGAGATTGTAGCCAGGGAACAAAGGAAGTCATAAAGTGGCCATGCCACACTACAGGCTGCCTCATCAACTCTATCCAGTTAGATGAGTACTGTGTGCCTCAGTGGGTGTTGCCATATTGTTTTGTTGTCATGTTTTTTCAGGCATCTGCTTTCATTTGGGCACTGGGAGAGGTCAGTGCGGGGGCCACATTCATTCATTAAGCACCTGATTTTGTTTCCCCATTAAGTTTATTGGTACATTTTAGGTATAAAATACAGTTACATTCATCATTAGGATCTTGTACCTTTACATGATGTATCTTGGTTCTTATTTTTT